CTTCTTAGTATCGTCGGACAGGGCAACGGAATTCTCACGCATTCGGGCGCGAAAGAGACGCATGGCTGTCAGCTTAGCGCGTTCGCCTACGCTCGCTCGCGGGTTTCCTCTTCAATTGCCGGCCGAGTGGCCGCGCTTCGACGGCCGCGTTCGTCGCAGGGTTGAGGGTTATGTTGAGGGGACGTTCGTCGGGTCGTTCATGTCCCCCCCCCTCCCCCCCGCCCCCGCCCCCGCCCCCGCCCACAATGTCAGTGTATGTGGCTCTCACGCACATTTGTTGGAAGCGAGGAGGACTGAGCGAAACAACCTCCTCCCCCTCGGGCCCGTCAGATCCCGTCTGTGGACTGTGTGTGCGGGCACACAGTCCGACGCACAGTGCACTGGCCCAGCGCAAGGACAAGCAGCCTCCCGCCCCAGCGCTGGACCTGGAGGCTGCTGCCGCAGCCCATGAGCCGTGTGTGTGTGCTTAGATCTTACGCATGCATGCACATGTTCTTTTTCTGTACTTACGTCGCACGGATGTGTTGCTGGCAGCAAGTGAGTCACACGAGAGGACGAGAGAGCCAACTCTCGTTCAGTGATCTAAAAGCGCGCGACACGCCACGGCGTCTCGTTAGTGCGGAGATCGAGGGCGCGCCCGCCACACGTTATAAAGGGATTCGCCCCCCCCTCACGCCCGCTTGCCCGACTTGGCCGCCTTGGTCGCGTGCATCTTGTAGTCGGGCGTGAGGTGCGCCGTCAGCGCCGTCACCAGCGCGATGAAGTTGTAGCCGAGCAGCTGCACCACTAGCCGCAGGCCGACCGAGACGCCGCCCACGTCGGCGACGACGGCAGCGCGGCCGATGTGGGAGAGGAAGCGTTGCGGCAGCGCCTCGGGCCCCGACGCAAACTTGTAGAAGGTGGCCATCGCCTCGATCTTGCGCTGCTGCACCTCGTTGCCTCCGCCCGCCGTGAAGCGCGAGTTGACGGGCGACGGGTGGATGGAGTGCACGTGGATGCCGCGCGGCCGCGCCTCGACGGCGAGCGAGGCGGCGAAGGCGGAGACGCCCGACTTGGTCGCGGCGTAGAGGGCGGCGAAGGGGTTCGGGATGTAAGACGCAGACGACGAGGTGAAGACGATGCAGCCCGGGAGGGAGCGGGCGAGCATGCGGCCGTAGAGGTAGTGCGAGAGCCAGATGTTGGCCGTCAGGTTGCAGTGCAGGTTTGCGAG